TTATTTTGGAGGTCTCACTCTCAAAGTTGGGAGCCAGTCCGTTTATCATCTTCCAAGTGTACAGTATGATATACCTTTCTCTTCTTCTCTCCAGTGAGTACAGTTCCAGGTGTTTCAGCCTTCCCCAATAGTTCAGGTTCAGCTCTCTTATGCCGCTGATCCTGTACGTGAAGGTCCGCTGCACTGCCTCCAGTTTCCGCACCGCACCCGCCTTGAGTGGCGACCAAAGCTGGCAGCAATACTCAAGATTGGGGAGCACGAGGGCTCTGAAGAGTGTTATCATTGGCGCTGCTTCTCTCTTTCGGAATGTCCGCCAAATCCTCCGCATGGTGGATCAAAACACCCAACACAACGTACAACACAATACACCACACAACACAACATCAACACGAGGTACAGACCAGTACTAACGCTGGTCCGTGATCTTGCAGCTGTTACAACCAGAACCCATTAAATACCAGTCTAGTACCATCATTAAATACCAATCTAACAACCATCTCCTCGTATCAAGTACCTCAACAGATGTCCTCCAATTACTACCAGTTACCACATAAGCACCAGATGTAAATACCTCCCATGTTTCCTTCAGTACCCACCAAGTACCCACTAATTGCCCGGCGTACCCATCAGTACCAGTACCCACCTGACGCAGAAGACGCGGTAGGTCGGTGATGCGGGCGCGGCTGTGCAGGCAGAGGCGGTGCACAGCGCACAGTCCCAGTGCCGCGATGCCGGTCTCCTTGCACAGCATGGACAGCGTCGAGCACAGCACAGCCACCCACAGGTAGGGCCCACACCCCCACCGGGGGATGGTCCACTGGGGTCTGTATGAGGTCTGGGGGCCGTTACTGCCCAGCGGAGGAGGGGTCCCGGAGGGAAGGGACGTTATGAGGGACGGGCCGGGTGAGTGGGTCCCTTGTGATGGGGGAGCGCGTCCCGGGGCATGAGGGACTCTGGGACCAGCGGGGGGGAAGGATGGACGACCTGACGTCTGATTGGTGCCCGACGGTCCCCTGCCTGGTAAGGGAGCTCTGCTGCTGCAGGAGTCGCTGCAGGAGCGGCTACTTCCTTTGCACGCGCTTCCTTTACAGAGTCTCCCTCTGTAGGATCCCCCTCTGCAGTGTCTGATGTAGGATATAAGCGCCAGCAGCAGGAAGATGGCAGCGCCCACATCCGCCCGCCCCACGACGCCCGCGACGGCCTCTGTGTGGACGGGGTGGGCGGCGAAGAGCAAGGGCGCCGCCGCCCCGAACACCCGCGCCTGAGGGGGCGCGATGGCCTTCGTCAGCGTCGCGAAGAGGAACGTCGCCAGGACGTGCAGGAGGACGTTCGTCGCGTGGTACGTTAGGGGCTCGAACCCACCTAGCAGGTAGTTGAGCCTGCGGGATACGGGCTCGGATTCAGTATAGTCAGACAAGCTTGTCAGTTCAGTGTTAGGTGACGAGAAAACCTGTGACAAGAAATAACATATCTCTACAAAAATTGGGTTCTTCTATCACTTGCGTGGGTTCTTTTTTAGTCCACATATCAACACCTTACCGTCACGTGACATAGGTTGATCATAGTGACTTCCAGAGATTAGTCCCGTTGCGATGTTCCAGTTTAGATATTCGAATTTGCAAAGGCACTAATTTCATTTCATTAGCCAACCGATAATCCAGGCTGAATTTCGGTGCCACCGATGTAGGACCTACTGGTGTTCGCTGCAAATGATTTGTTGTAATTGCCCATCCTGGTAGTGGCGACTAGGTAAGGGAGGGGGTGATAGGTTAGTTTTTCCGGGCACTTGGTGCCACTGGTAGTTCTACGACCATCACTGGCTCGCATGCAAATGATATTGAGTCCACCGCATGCATGCTGCTCACTTTGGAGGAAGAGTCCGAGAGAAAAAATCGGACAACTCCGTGGAGCCTAAAAGTTTTCTCGAAGTCGGCCAGCAAATGCTTGATAGAGACGAGATGAACACTTTCCCAACGGGAGGAGGCAGATGAGGTTAACAGCACCCGCTGTGGGTGAGGAGTGTCCCTCAGACTTACCTGAATGATAGGACGGTAGGACTTGTTGGAGCCGCTGTGGGGTGAGAGGAGTCCCCCAGACTTACCTGAATGATAGGACGGTGAGGGGACGGTAGGACTTGTGGGAGCCACTGTGGGTGAGAGGAGTCCCCCAGACTTACCTGAATGATAGGACGGTGAGGGGACGGTAGGACTTGTGGGAGCCGCTGTGGGTGAGGGGTGTCCCCCAAAAGTCGTTTAAGAAGAGCTGCAGGATGGGGGAAGATGGGAGCACGTCGGGGTTTGTCTTGATCGCGCGACTGCAAAACACAAAAATCCAAATTATACTTCATGAAGTAACTTTCTATTTATTAATATATTTATTATATGTATTATAATATTCGTATTTTGAAAAACAGATTTGACATTATAATCACAAACAATGAGAATAATCAAGCTCCACCTCCTCCATATAAAATATAATGTTTCAACAAGTTCAACAACACAGCGAAGTGCTTCCTTAAAATTTTTCCTACGGTCAGTAAAGTTCAGTAAATTTGCAGATATAGATGCAGTAAATGCCGTGTGCACTGCAGTAAATGCAGTGTATGCCAGATAAAATGTAATATAAAAAATTTTACTCGGTAAACAAACAATTTGTTTTCAATTGCCGAATTATTATCGTAAAAATAAGGCATGTAAAGTAATGACTGATGAATGAGCGCAGTGTGCCGTACGCTACGCGCGCTCATTCAGAGATCGCGGGGGGGGGTCACCAGGCAACGCTGACAGCCTGTCACCAGGCAACGCTGACAGCCTGTCACCAGGCAACGCTGACAGCCTGTCACCAGGCAACGCTGACAGCCTGACATTCTCAGTAGCGGTAGCGGCGCTACATTTCAGGCAATGTAGCGGTAGCGGTAGCGCCCGCTACATATTTAAGTAGCGATACGAGGTTTTGCCGCTACAGCGCTACCGCTACATTTATAGATAAAGCCTTTAGATTTTACTTGATAGTATTAAATATTATTTAAAAACCAGCATGATTCATACATAATATAAATTACAGAATAAAACTGTACGAAAGATTTCGGTGTAATGTTGTCAACCTCAGCCTGTTACTATACTGTCAACATGTTAGTTGTTACTTGTTAAGTTGTTACCAGTTACCACTTACAGGTATTTTTTCATGTTTCAGTTTGCTTACACTTATTTTTACACAGTTATTTTTATGTTTCACCTTCCCTACATGGATGTCTATTTTAATCTACCAATCTTACAAATAATTCACATATATATATATACAAATAAAAAAATGATTTTTATATGTATGTATATGTGGATAATTTTTGAGATTGGTAGATTAAAGTAGACATCCATGTAGGGGAAGGTAAAACATAAAAATAACTGTAACTTTTATTTACTGTATCTAACCCGTACTAGTTCGGTTAGGTTCATTGCAATAAAATTGCATTGATATGTTTCGAAAATGTTTTATTATCATTAAATGTTTCTGAGTAAATACCAATAGGTGAACATGCAATAAATATTTAGAGATTCCTAATAATTTTGGCCATTGTAGCGGCGCTACATTTTACTGTGGCGGTAGCGCTCGCTACAATATAGTGGGTGTAGCGGTAGCGGTAGCGCCCACTACATTTAGAGCATGTAGCGGTAGCGGCGCTACATTTAGAGCATGTAGCGGTAGCGGTAGCGCCCGCTACAATTAGAGCATGTAGCGGCCGCTACATTTCAAAGTAGCGCTGTCCAGCTCTGTGTATACAAACTGTATGGTTAGCACCACAAACTGTATGTTTATCATATCAAGAGGTTAGCACCACTTGATATGCACGCATGTAGCAGCGTAATTAAAATATTTTGGATGGATTACACGTCATCTAGCATGTGGGATGAAAAATTTTGTGACCTGTAGGAATATTATGTTGCTGTAGGACCAGCAGCACTTTCCTGCATGTAGGAATAACTTAAACATCGCGGAAACTGTAAATTGTAAACGATTCATTTATGGCAAGAGAAGTTGGGCAGATTAGGAACAAAATTTAAATGTTACAAGAAGAAAGATACAATACATTAGTAAAAGTGATGGACATGACAATACAGTACATGTGGTGGACATGACGGGTGTCATAACCCCCAAAGGGGGAAAATGTTTGCACGAACCCTCCCCAAGAAGAGGGATGAGGGTAGAGCTTCACACAAAACTATTTGTATATATTAATATAAATGAAAATATATTTATATACAGTGGGGGGAAATAAATATTCGTACACTTGAAAAATCGTATTTTAATGTATGTAAGTACACAAACTTGAGAGGAAAAGTGATTTAAATTATGTATAGAGACGCATAGTATTCGAAAATACTATCAAAAGAAATTAAATCTCAATGCAACAAAAAACAATGCAACATGTTCACTTTTCGGGGTGAAAAAAGTATTCGTACAAAACAATAAATCCTGTCTCTTATACACATCTAGATGTGTATAAGAGACAGGTCGAGACGTATAGAAATAGACTGGTATCTGTTGAGCTGAATAAAGGGTATTCAACCAAGTATTAAATTAAAATAATGCGGATTTATTGTTTTGTACGAATACTTTTTTCAAAAAGTGAACATGTTGCATTGTTTTTTGTTTGTTGCATTGAGATTTAATTTCTTTTGATAGTATTTTTGAATACTATGCGTCTCTATACATAATTTAAATCACTTTTCCTGTTAAGTTTGTGTACTTACATTAAAATACGATTTTTCACGTGTACGAATATTTATTTCCCCCCACTGTATATTTTGGTGGGGTATTAGTGTAGTTAGGCATAAGTTCTTCATTTATACAGGTTTGGTTGAAGACCATGCAGAGCGTACTTTTTATTTACGATTTTCTTATTGTTTTCTTCGATAAGCCGAAAGAAATTTCTATCTGGAGCTTGGAGATCAAAAAGCAGATTACCGAATGACATTTTATTGCAGTGCGACGTTTCGAATATATCCATATTCATTATCATCCAAGTGAACAGTTATTACAACGCTAAAAATTGAAATTTGGACATGACATAAGATCATTCAGAAAGTATTGTAGATACGGTTCAAAATCGAAAATCAAATTAATCCGAGAATAATTTCAACGTCCTGACGAATCCCGCGGTTTGCAAATTGATAGCAGGAGACTCGTCCTTGATGCTGAGAGCCTCCGCTATCGACAGTCTCGTAGTGTCGGGGCACCGCATGACGATGCTGATGCAGGCCTCCAACGTGGCACGGGTGATGGTCTCGTTGTGGGCCTCCCGCATATGGTTCTTTGGTCCTCCAGCTTGCAGATGGCATGTGAGTCTACGGCTCAATGTCGTGCTTGTCAAACCGATGTAATTTACATTTTGGAGAAGTCTACAACCTTCTTTCAATCGTAAATAAAAAGTACGCTCTGGTCTTCAACCAAACCTGTATATTGGTGGGGCTATATATATACTAAAAATATATATTGGTGGGGCTAGAGCCCCTCCCCCCATCTGAGGAGGGCATTCACACCCCCCCCCTTGTGGGAGTTTGATTTTATGGGAGTCTGTGTGATGATGTGGGGGAGTGGGGGCAGACGTATCCCACTGGGGGACCACAACCCATACTCGAAGAGGGGGGAAGAGGTATGGGGGGCTGGGGAGGTATAGGGGGGGGACCGACCAATCAGCAGCCCGGGGTCTCCATAATAAACATGGCTGCCGGGTTCACTGTATTAGCCGCGCTATATTATTTATACTTGTAAAAAGCATTCAATGTTTTACTTTACTGCCTTCCCCATCACGCTGCACCCCCACACCCCCACTGAGGGGGGAGGGGGGGCAATGAACGTATGTTTCAGCGGCGTGGAATTACCGAAAAATAACGAGCGTTCCGTGACCGCCGCGGCTCCCCGTTGTCATAACCTGCCCCCCACCCCCCACTGCCTGGCGGCCTGCCCGTTACAGGTGTTACGGCGGCCTGCCCGTTACAGGTGTTACGGAGGCCTGCCCGTTACAGGTGTTACGGAGGCCTGCCCGTTACAGGTGTTACGGAGGCCTGCCCGTTACAGGTGTTACGGCGGCCTGTCCGTTACAAGTGTTACGGAGGCCTGCCCGTTACAGGTGTTACGGCGGCCTGCCCGTTACAGGTGTTACGGAGGTAAGCTCGTTACAGGTGTTACGGAGGTAAGCCCGTTACAGGTGTTACGGCGGCCTGTCCGTTACAGGTGTTACGGAGGCCTGCCCGTTACAGGTGTTACGGCGGCCTGCCCGTTACAGGTGTTACGGCGGCCTGCCCGTTACAGGTGTTACGGCGGCCTGCCCGTTACAGGTGTTATCGTTACAGGTGTTACGGCGGCCTGCCTGTTACAGGTGATACGGAGGCCTGATCGTTACAGGTGTTACGGCGGCCTGCCCGTTACAGGTGTTACGGTAGCCTGCCCGTTAAAGCAAGTGGACGGGACGGACAGCAAATGGACGAGATGGACAGCAAATGGACGAGATGGACAGCAAATGGACGGGATGGACAGCAAATGGACGAGATAGACAGCAAATGGACGGGATAGACAGCAAATGGACGGGATGGACAGCAAATGAACGGGATGGACAGCAAATGGACGGGATGGACAGCAAATGGACAGGATTGACAGCAAATGGACGGGATGGACAGCAAATGGACGGGATGGACAGCAAATGGACGGGATGGACAGCAAATGAACGGGATGGACCTGTCTCTTATACACATCTAGATGTGTATAAGAGACAGGCTCAATGTCGTGCTTGTCAAAGCGATGTAATTTACATTTTGGAGAAGTCTACAAGCTTCTTTCAATCGTAAATAAAAAGTACGCTCTGGTCTTCAACCAAACCTGTATATTGGTGGGGCTATATATATACTAAAAATATATATTGGTGGGGCTAGAGCCCACCCCATCTGCATGGGAAGGGCATTCACCTGTCTCTTATACACATCTAGATGTGTATAAGAGACAGCTTTAATGCACGTCATCCTCGAGAGGATATTCGTGTTTAGACTGCGTATATCGATGATACGCTTCGTATCATCGATACGTACATCAAGTCAAGTAAATTGGCTCGCAACAACGTGTTTCATGTGTAGCAACGGACTAAAAATGAGAAAATTAAATACTTAAAAACTAAAAAGTAGAAAATAAAATGTATAAAAAAAATTTTTTAAAGACCACGTTTTTCATGTGGACTCAAAAGTAGAAAATAATTTTTCGGCAGCTGCTGATCTCTGTTTGCTTTCATTCTCTTGGTCTTTTGTATTTCAGTTAAAATATTTTACA